CGTGGCCGGGCAGGTTCGGCCTGGCCCAGAGCGGGCTCTCGGACCCCGAGCCGCGCCGCGCCATTCCCCGGGTATTCAGTTCCTTCCGCGCGCCTCGCGCGGACGGTTCAGCCCCTCAGATGCTCTCCTCAGAGCTGCGCCCCCACCGCACCAGCTTCCAGCGATAGAATCAACCAGAAAGCCGCGCACCGGCTGCGTACAGGAAGGCGAGCCTCGGTCTTGTTCGCCGGGGGTCGTCCGTAGTCACCCTCTCCCCTCATTCCCTGGTTCAGGGGCGGCGGTGAACTCCGGCTCTGAGGTGAAAATCGCGCACGTTTCTAAAATAGTGCTTGTGCGCAAATACCTCAGGGACGCCTGTCTGGGTGGCTGTGGCCGCCGGAAGCCGATTAGGAAGAGCAGAGCCACCAGCTCCAGGCTGGGGGGCCTCGCTCCAGGGCCCCCAGAGGGGGCGCGGCTCAGTGCGCTCCAAGGTTCTAGATCTCTGTTTAGAAGGGGCAGGGCTACGCCCAAGGCCGTTCTCTAGACGCTTTGGTTTCCAAGGTAACCCCCCTCACCGCGCCCCCCCCCAGTCTGCTCCCGGTAAAATGGGTGTGGCTCCCAGCGCCAAAGGAAACCCCATGCCCCCTCCTCACGTTTTCCCGCCTGGCGAAGCAACAGGGCACGAAGCAGAGAGGGGCCCCGCCTGCGAGCCCCCCGCCTTCTGGGGGTCCCCGGTGCCCCCCGGTGTGGGGTGGGGCGTCGTCCCTCGGCCGACACCCTCTCCGCGCTCCGGGACCTGAAATGCCACCCCTTCAGTCCGAGGATGCTTCCCGGCGCGCGGCCGGGCTCCAGGAGGGGGCCGCTCAGTGTCAAGCCCGTTCCACACGTGACCCCGGGGCCGCGATTCGAGCTCATCGACCCCAGCAAGCCCCAAGATCTAACAAAGGGCTCGGAAACGAGGGGCGAAACACCGGGGGAGGGGGAGCCTAGGTTAAACACCTTTATAGAATAAAAGGCAAAAACCCAGGCTGGCAACACTGATCTCATTAGCTCCACAAACAAAGCAAGAGCCCCCAGGAAGATCCCGGGTGGACACCGCCAGTGCCCAACCCCGGAGCAGCAAACCCCCAAGATTTCAGCGCTGATGGTCGCCTTCCCCCTTAATAACAGTCCCGCCTTGTCCTCCGAAGCCCAGCCACCGGGCTTGGCATGGTACCGTAAAGACGTGACACGCCGCAAAAAGATGGCACCTCGAGTTCGGAGGGGGAAAAAAGCGGGGGTGGGAGTGGGAGGAAGCATAGCCTACCCTCCCCCTCCTCGCCCACCCGGGTCCACACCCACTGCCGCAGTGAGGGGCGAGCCCTGCGCGCCAGCGCCGCGCCTCCGGCAGGGAGCGCACACGCCGGACGCCCAGAGCGCAGAGAAAGGGGCCCACCCCGAAGTGCACCTGCAACCCCCGCGCGGGTTTGCAGCTGTTAGCGCCGGCGAGGCGGATCGGCTGCTGCCGAGTCCGTCCATATCTTAAGGCTAGGTGACCCCCGCCATGCCGAGCCTCCACAGTGGCCTCCGCGCACTACTTTCTCTCGGGCACGGCGCCGCTCGCGTCTCGGTGCCAGGCGCGCGCAGGGGGAAGGGCAACTAAAGTGACAGCGCCTGGACCCCTCCCCATCTCCCCGATTCCACTCCCAGCCCCCAAATGTCCCCTGCGGGTTTCTGAAGGAGGAAAACGGGGAGGGGGTGGACCACTGCCTTAAATCAGGGGCTGCGAAAGCCCCATTGGAATCGCTGCTGGGGAGGTGAAGGGAGGGGTAGGAGGGGAGTCATCTCTTCTAGAACCCGATCCATACCTCAGAGCTGGTGGCAATCCGAGACAGAGAAAACGGATTACAGGTTCAGTTTAGGGGGTCGTCATTTGACACCCATATAGACACCCATATAGACACACGCCCATTGCGGCAAAAGGCTGCGAGCCAGAGTGCATAGCAGCCCCCTCCCTCAGGTCACCGCCATCCGCGCCCCACCCTGCGAGCACCTCCGCCGGGGTCCGCGCGAAGCAGGTGGTGTGGAACCGCCAGCGCACACACACACACATACACACACGCGCGTGTGCATCCCTTGCATAGGTCCCTTTCCAAGTCGCCCCAAACCTAGCTCTGGAACACAGACGGCGTAGGGAGTGGCCCCCGCCGTGGCCCCCCACCCATGCCCACCTCATGAAGCCCATCTTCGAGGCGCGGATCCGAGGGGCGGCGGTACGCGGGTGCAGGGGGTGAACGGGAAGGCGCATTTCAGAGCCTTGCGCTTACCTGATAGTCGACAGAGGGCTAGGAGAGTAGAGGAAAGCAGAGGAGAAAGTGTCGGTGGTGGCGACGGCAGAAGGTGGGCGGTGGCGGCGGTGCTGCTGCTGGTGCCGGAGCGGGTGGGTGGCGGAGACTGCGA